AGGTGGACAGATAGCAATTAAGTGGGCAGTGGGGTGGGGGGCAGGAGAAGGGTTTCCGTTGCAGAGAAATCCTTCTGCGTGGTCCAGGAGGATGAATGAATGGTTTGTTTGTTTGTTTATTGCATTTATATCCCACATTTTCCTCTAAGGAAAATCCCCACAACAACCCTGTGAGGTAGGTTATAAGCTGAGTGAGGCAGTGACTTGCTCAACATTACACCCAGTGAGCTACATAGCCAACTGCGGTGTGTGTGTGTGTGTGTGTGTGTGTGTGTGTTTTAAACCCCGGTCTCCCAGATCCTTGTCTTCATTTATTCCCCACAACAACCCAGTGCGGTAAGTTAGGCTGAGCGTGAGTCACTGGCCCAACGTCACACAGTGAGCTTCATCGCCTAGTGGAAATTTGAACCCTAGTCTCCCAAGTCCTAGTCCGGCACACAAAACACTACACCAGGCATGGGTGAAGGCAACTAGAGTGATGGGGTGGCATTAGTTTAGAGCTGTGTAAGCCTACATGCTGCCCCCCAGACAAAGGGAAGTATTTATTCACACAGTGCATAGCTTATGAATGCATAAGCTTTTACAGCCCAAGGCCTGCCTGCAACCTTCTGTGGGCAGGAGGGGCATGTGTTAGTGGTGGGTGCGGCCAGAGGCAAATGTGGGCGGAGCAATGGATGCAAATGTCATCTCTGTGTAGTGGGCTAGGTTCTATACACACTAACCCCTACTCTCTATCCAGGGAAGCAAGAAGCATTTTCAAAATTCAAGAACACAAAAAGGAAGGTGGTCTGGAGCATGTGGGCGTGTGGTCTGGAGAGAGACCCGAGGGCCCCACAGAAAGGCTTTGAAGGCCCAAGGCTTTCCCAGGCAAAACTATGGATTAGATAACATGACCAATCACCAACTTGCATGGGAACCAACTCCAAGGGGCCGAGGGGGCTTCAGCACCCCAATAAAATATTTGAGGAGTCTGGCCCCTCCCAAAATGGATGGGCATTGCCATTCGAATGGTGTGCATGCACCGTGTCATATGATTGATTATGCGGGGTGGGGCTTACCTGGGCCCTCCAATATTTTATTCAAGTTGGCACCCTTGCCAACTTGGATGGCTTTGGAAGATGGAGCCATAGAGATTATGGCTATCAGTGGTTATTAGGGACTGCCAGACTCACTATATCCTGGACTGATCATGGAGATCTTTGTGGGAGTCACTGATAGCAGTCCCTTATGGCTTGAACGCAGTGGCGTAGCGTGGGGGGTGCAGGGGGGGGGGCGGCCGCACTGGGCGCAACATCTGGGGTTAGGGCAAATCCACGGGTTAGGGGGCGCAAATCCACGGGTTAGGGGGCGCAAATTACTTGCCTTGCCCCGGGTACTGACAACCCAAGCTACGCCACTGCTTGAACGTGCAACTTATATCCTCCAGGAGCCATGCATTCAGTAGGGTGGGCCCAGTCTCATGGAACTCCCTCCCAGTTGAGGTCAGACAGGCCCCCTCCCTTGTGAAATTCCAGCTGCTACTGAGACTTTTTTAGTATTATTTCAGCAGGCATTTTAATTGTAACTGATTATTTCAATTGATTTTTTTTTTTAAATTCTCACTATGTTGAATTTCTCATACTCTGCTCAGAGATGATTGTAGATAACTGGTATATATAAATGGTCTAAATAAAAATGAAATAAAACCAGAGCAGTGCAGCTCTGAATACTGGTCACCCGGAATAGGGATGGGAGGACCTGTTAGTTGCAGTTACTCATTCTTTCCCCCCATCTTAAATTCAGTTTTCCACCTATCCACATAAGTTTGTGGATTTTTGATTTTTGATTTATTTCATTTCATTTCGTTTTTGGTCCAGATGAACGTAATTGGGCAAAATCAAAGATGATCTATGAGCTAAAAGACTTGTAAATAATTTAGCATCTGCATTTATCAAAGAAATAGGCCTATATGAGTCAACGCATTCAAGGTCTTTCTATGGTTTGGGGAATATTATTATAGTTGAGGTCTTCCATGTTTTGGGGATCTGGCCTTTACTCAGTCTCTCTAGAAAAAGTTTGAAGAGGAGAAAAATTGTATCTGTTCATTAAGAGGTTTTATTTTAAAAGGCCCATAATTTTAAGAATAAAAAGTCCTCATGAAAGTTCACCAGCATTTTAGCACATTTTTTTTGAATCTACACATTTTTGTATGCTAATATACAAATGATTGCAAGGCAATTTTCCATTATGCATATCTTTATGTTATTTTCACAGATATATGCATTCTCACGTATACTTAACTTGCACCATATGCATTGCCATACATCTCACTTGGCAGGAGAAGTACATTGCAAAATTCAAATAGCGCAAATTTCAGGGGATGACATCATTTCCGTTCATATCTTACTTAGGAAAACAGCGAAACGGGTAGGTTTGTTGCAAAATGTAAACTGAATAAAATCCCCCTCCACATCTATTCTAGGGAAGAACAGCAGGAGAGGGCTATTCTGACCTCTTTGTGACTTTCTCAGTGACCTCTCATTGGCCTCTATGAGAAACAGGCTAGTGAACAAGATGCCATTTTTATCTGATCCAGCAGGGCTATTTCTATGATCCGATACAGTTTTACCTTGGATCCTGAACGCCTTGGTAATCAGACGTTTTGGCTGCCGAACGCTGCAAACCCAGGAGTGTTTTGGTTTGTGAACATTCTTTGGAACCCAAATGTTTGAGGGGGCTTCCGTGGCTTCTGATTGGCTGCAGGAGCTTCCTGCAGCCTATTAGAAGCTGTGCTTTGGTTTCCGAATGTTTTGGAAGTCAATGGGACTTCTGGAACGGATTCCGTTCGACTTCCAAGGTACGGCTGTACTAGCTTTCTGCATGCGGGGAGTATTAAAAGCAGGTGAATGTTCAAAGATGTAGGCAAGCAGTGTGGGGGTGGGGTCTTATTCAATTCTGGGCACCATATGCCTGTGGTAGCCTGGATAAGAGGCAAAAGTAGGCACAGCAACAAATGTGAATTTTACCTAGTTTCTACACACATGCACCACTCTCTATCTTCCATCCATGCATGCAGGAGGCATGGTCAGACCAGTGGCAGATCTTGAGGTCTCAAATTTCAGTGGTGCCCTCTCTGCAACACCAAAAATTGATGCCCCTCTGCCTCTTGCACTCCATTGTAAATCATAGCTGCGGTGTCCCAACAGCGCCTCCGAGGCTCCGCACCCAGTGTAACTGAACCAGTCACATGCTCCTAAATCTACCTCTGATCAGAAAGGCAAAATAATTCTTGAGGAGGGTGCAAATGAGGGCTGGTGAGGGGTGTGGCCTGTGAAGAGGCCCAAGGGCCATGTAGAAAGCCTTCAGGGACAGCATTTGGTCCCCAGGTCTGATATTCTCCATCCCTGATGTAAACACTGCCACCACCTGGCTGAACTGGCCACAACTCAAGTGAAGACTTTAAACCGCTTGGTTTTGTTGAATGTATCATACTGACTCAAACCACTGCAAGCGTAAGAACAGGTGGGCAGTGGGATCAGTCTTCCAAGAAAATCTGGGCCTCCTCTCCTCTCTTGGGGGATTTGGCAAAGGGCCCGGAGGGAGTGAAGTTAGCAAGCAAAGGCTCCCAACCCCGGCTTGTGAGCGAGCGATTGCAATCTGTTTGAACAGCCCCTGGGTCGTGATCTTCCACTGACACACGCTGCTGTGGCAGACCCCACACTGACAAGTAGCTGGGATAAATTATTACTGACATATGCAAATGGATATGCAGATGAAGGTAGGGGCATAAGTGGAGTACAGCAAGGCCGAGGCAAAGAAGGCGGGGGGGGGGGGAAGAGAAAGTTAAAAAACCCAGCCACACTCTTTTCTCATCAAAGCACTGTGCTTGTGATGGCATGGAGTGGCCGTTACAGGAATCTGCAAGCCCTTTTTTCTGTCCTGAGAGTAGCATTAAATGGGAAGCTGGGATGTGTGTGTATGGAATTGCAAATATATGACACCCCCACTCCTGGGACAGCCACTTGATCATCAGCAAAAGTGAGAACAACGAGGGCAGAGGTTTCCATTAAAAATGTGCATGTGCTAATTTACAAGGCGTAGAGGTAAATGTAGAAGTAAACGGCTATCATTTCAACAGACACATTTGCCCAGAATAGGGAAGAGGATGTGCAGGGAAACTGTGTGCCTGCTCAGGCTGCTATTGAGATGCTGCTGATAGTTGATGCACGGTTTCGAGGCTCTTCCTGCTTTTGGTTCTTTATCTCTCAACTAGTTTTAGACACGGCATCTCTTCACACAAAATGGGGAGGGGAACCTCCAGCCCAAAGGGTGACCATGGCCCGCCAGGGGTCCAATTTGACCCATGAGGCTATTTTGCTCAAACCATGCCAACCTGTCCATCAGGCAGCATCACTGGGAAATGGGCAGAAAGGCGAGGATCAGTTCTATATTGCCTGCACCTACCAGTTTCCTGCAAAGGACTGGTGCATGCATCTAAAGTGGGAGGATTTAGCCCTAACTTCTCAGCTGATAAGACCTTCTCAGGCCCCTGCAGAGAGCAGGGCAGAAGTCTCCACTCACCAGCTGACAAGGTGAGAGTTCAATCCTGCTGGGTGCTATTTTGTCAGCCCTACCAGAAGATGTTGGTTATTGAGCCTGGAACCTTCTTCATGCAAGGCGAATGCTCAGACAACTGAGCAATAGCACTTCCTAAACAGGAACAGCGGAATGTGGCTTATGCTGAGTCAGACCCTTGGTCCCTCTAGCCCAGTGCTGCCTACACTGTCTGGCAGTGCCTCATCAAGGTTTAAGACAGGGAGTCTTTCTCAGCCACACCTGGAGATGTTGAGGACTGAACATGGGACCCTCTACATGTGAGGGAGATGCTCTGCCCCTGAACTATGGCCTTTCCAGAGGTCTGAGTAATGTTAAGGTGCGAGCCAACTCTTCAGGACCTCTGTGATCAATGCTATGTTCACAAGTGAGTCAAGGCGACAAGTCTGTTTGTATCTCCAACGTACCTTCTGAAAGTGGGGCATTTTCCAAAGAGGATCTGCCTGCATCGGAGGCAGGAATCTCCTGAACAGCGTCGTGCGTGTGTCATATGTCTTTCCTCTGCGTTTCTAAAAACAAGTACGGCACACAGATTAATGTGCTGCCAACCAGAACGTTGCTGCAGCAGAGATTCTCTTGTGTTGCATCAAGTGATAAGGGCCTAAGAGAACATCAGAAGAATCTGGCTGCTGGATCAGGTCAAAGGCCAATTCTAGTCTAGCATCTTATTTTCACAATGGCCAACCAGATGCCCCAATGGGAAGCCTGCAAGCAGGATGTCAGCGTAACAGCTCTCTCCATTTGTGATTCCTAGCAACTGGGATTCAGAGGCAGCAGAGAGGCAGAAGATAATAAGAGTCCTGTTGAATTAGGCCACTAAAAGGACCACTTAGTCCAGCAGCCAACCACAAGCAGCATCTAAGGGCATCAGCAACTCTCCCCCCTTGTGACTTCCAGCAACTGGTCTACAGAGGCATATTGTCTCAGACAGTGAAGGTAGAACACTGTCATCATGGCCAGAAATGACTGATAGTGTTAGAGTCAATGAATTTGTCTGAAATATCCATTTTAGCAGAGACATATTCACCCGAAGCTTGCAAACAGACAGCTGGAAGAGAACTCAAAGGTCAGTCCAACACCTCCACCAGGGAATCCACTGCTAGAGTTCCTGATAGTTGGCCATCCAGCCTCCTTCAGATGAGGGAGAGTCCATCACCTTCTAATGTTCCTCCTAACGTATGCATGTATTTATTTCAATATTTATATCCCAACTTTTTCTCCAAGGAGCAAAAGGTAGCATACTTAGCTATCCTCCCTCTCATTACAACAACCCTATGAGGTAGGTTAGGCTGTGAGTGAGCAACTGGCCTGAGGTCACCCAGAAAACTTTGTTCTAATTTTGCAGTTTGGAGAAAACACATCTGCTTCATTCTTTGTGTAAAGTATGAGCCTTGGGACTAGCCTCCAAATGAACCCTACACCCCAAATGAGGAAACAAGTTTTTTAAAAAGAGGTAAAAATTATACTGAAGCAGTCCAAGACAGTAAAGTCCAATTCCTTCAAACAAACTTTCAAAGAAATTACGAATGCTTGTGGTGTCACATGTTAAGCATCTCTTCTCCAAGCTAACTATGAAGAAGAAGAAGAAGAAGAAGAAGAAGAAGAAGAAGAAGAAGAAGAAGAAGAAGAAGAAGTCACCCTTTACCCTAAGCTCCCAGTGTGGGTCACAGCAATTTTAAACACAACATTAAAAACAGTTTTAAAGAGACTACCATTTGTAGGGTTCTAAAAATACGCACCCCATGCATCAAAGGCTAGGGTAAAGAGGTGAGTCTTCTTATTTTCCCCTAAAGTATATAGGCACAGACCCATCTCTGTGGGGAGGGAGTTCCACAACTTAGAGGCTGCCACCCTCTCCAGGGTCACCACTATTCCATGAGATTCTGAAGGTGGTGGATCTACCATGAGTGGTGGATCTCTGCTGATCCTAACACCCAAGGAAGTCTGTAGGAAAGAAAGTGGTCTTTCAGATATTTGGGGCCTAAGTTGTTTACAATTTTAAACACCAACACAAGCTCCTTAAGTTGGGCCTGGAAATGAACAAGCAACATACCTCCAATCTTTCATCATGGAGCTTGGCAAAACCTACATATCTGCAACCAGCTGCTGGAAACCACAGGAGGAATGTGCTCCTGCTTAAGGATTTCCCACTGAGGCATCACAACAGGATGCTAGACTAGATGGGCCATTGGCTTGATCCAATAGGCTCTTCTTATGGAGATCTATTGTGATAGCAAAATCTCCATACCCAGGCACAATCTATCTCGGAATACCAGATAATGAGGAACAACAATTGGAGAGTTGCTGTTGCATTCAAGTCCTGCTTGTAGGCTTCTATAGGCATCTGGTTGGCCACGGTGAGAATAGGACATTGGACTAGATGAGCCATTGGCCTGGTCCAGCATGCTCTTCTTAGGTTCTTATGCTCCAAAGGTCTGCTCACCTTCTGCTTTTTTTCTGCCTTCTCAGCTTTGATGATGGCTCTCTGCTCGTCCATCCACATCTCTTTGTATTTGTGCTGCAATAGATCAAAGAATGGCGTGGAGGGCCTGGGGAAAAATGGGAAGGGAAAGATCTCATGGAAGAAGGAATCTATAAATGAATCTCTAATAATAAAAAGCCATATAACTGGGTCAGATCAAGACCCACATGTGCCCCTCTAGATGCTGGACTCCCAACATCCTATCAGCCTAGGGGTGGGTGGATGTATCAATTTCTGCTGTCTAAGTTCCTCTTTTTTTGCAATCTTTGAAGCCACTTCTCCATAGCTCCACCTCAATTGATTGATTTCTTAAATTCTCGGAAAAATCCACCAGCCTTTTAGTATGAATTTCACCTAACAGACACAACTTTTTATATGACCTTTTGACTAACATCTCCACCCGTTTTGCAATTTCCTCTAACATAATACATTCTTTTCTACATCATATTTGCATATATATATATTCACATGTTTCCCGATAATATATGCATTTTGATAAACATTGTTTGGATGGAGAACTTCCAACCCAAAATTTGGAAAAATATAAAATTTGAATAACAGCTTTGTTTTCATTTGAGAAGTCTGAATTAAGTAAACAAAACTGAATTTCCCTACATTCAACCCCAGCTGGGCCAATGGTCAATGGTGATGGGAGTTGTAGTTCACAACACTGGGAGGCCAGTAGATGGTGTGGTTGGACTACAATTGCCATCACCCCTAACCATTGGCCATGCTGACTGGGGCTGATGGAAGCTGTAGTCCAACAACATACAGAAGTCACTAGGAGTGGGTCCCTACCTAAAGTCAATGTTGGGCAGCTATAAAATGCCTTCTTCATCATAGCCAACACTTTAAAAATAAATAAATGGTGGAGGTTGCAGTTATTTCCCTGTCATGTATGCAAGTGGTCACTCTTCCTAAATCCCCCTCCCCTAATTTATTTTGCTCCTACCGTGAATTTTATTACTAATTATTGCACACTGCAGGCTTCAGAGGAGCCTTTGCTAATGATGTTATTGTTGGATATTTTCTCTCTCTGTGTGAGAATCATTTGTTCCAGAAACAGAGAAGAACACAGAAGAAGTTTCAAGAAGCAGCAGAAGGCTGAGATTGTTTTGTTTATGCAAGGACATTTTCTATGGGAACTCTTCTTTGGACACACACAGTATGACACTGTAACTTGTGTGTCTCTTGCTTGCACCTTGCGGTGAGAGAAGCAGAGAGAGAGTCTTGGACTCTTGTTGGACTCAGGCATGCCTTGACCATGGAAGTGGTGAATGTCTGTATGTATTTGCTACCAATATGCTTTTATGCCTGTCAAGTAAACCTCTATACTTGACTGAATTTTTATGGCGTCCATGAGTGTTTATTGCCTACTGTGTGTACCTTGAACCCCAAAGACGCTTCCAAGGAAGGAGCTGTATTGAGATGTAACTCATGGATACTGGCACACATGATCAGCGAAAGTGATGCTGGACCCATTTCTTCTAAATCATCCATCAGAGGTTGATGGATTGATACAGTACAACAGTTATCATACCCTCTAACATTCTGCAAGGGAAAATTGGGATGTGTGCAGGAGCCAACTGACTTGCATGAGAGCATCCCCACCCCATATACATGTTTGCAGTTGTAGCTACAAAGTTTTCCACGGCATCTTCTGCTTTTAACAGAAGCATGAGACAAAAATAACAGAGAGCTTTTCAGTTTTGTCAACTTCATTAAATACAAAAGCACTCTGTGACTCTCTTACAAAAAAGAAAAGAAAAGAAAACAACAACAACAACAACAACAACAACAACAACAACAACAACAAAGCAAATAAGAAACCTAAAATTTATTCTCTGCCTTGTGGAAAATTTCTTCCCTTCAAGCACCACTATTTAATTGAGCAGCAAACACATGCATTTTTAAATGGAAGGGGCAAAAAGGGGAAGTGACACATTTTTTTGTGCTATGCAGTCAGAAGACAGTTCTGGGAACTAGAATAGAAAAGGGAGGAAATGCACCATATGCACACACACATACCTGCACAACCAGGTCTTCTCCACGAGCTTCCTTCTCCTGTGCGTGGGGATGTTGCGCTCTCTCTCTTTTAACAAACCTGTTAACAATTACTGCTTCCCCCATCTTGCCCTCTCACTCCTCCTAACTGCCACCTCCTTTAAATCCTTGGCCTGTCATTTTCTGCTCTCTGCCACCCAATGCTCCCACCACACAGCCAGCTCCACCTTCTGGCTCACCTAAGCTGCTACTTTCCAAATTCTTTCGGGTGAGGAACACTCAGGGCTTCAGAACTATAGACATAAACCAGAGAGTCCTACACAGACAACCTTAGAGAGGAGAGAGAAAGAGAGTGTGTGTCTCCTTTGAGCACCATAGATATATACCTAGCAAAAAAACCCCTCTCACTTCCCATTCTGAGGAGAATCTCCCTCTTCTTTCTAGGTGTATGTGAAATTATTTCAAAGCACGTCACTGAAAAGTGGCCTTTTGGTTTAGGCAAAATCTCAAAAAAGGAAGTTCTTATTTTTTAAGAAAAGAACACACACACACAAATCAGCACTTCTGATATGGGCTGCCATACACCCAGATTTCCTAGGACATTTTTGCCGCCTTTTGAAAATTCTGCCCAGACACCATTTTCAAGGGACGAATCCTGATGTCTGGCAGCCCTACATTTCATAGAATCATAGAGTTGGAAGAGACCACAAGGGCCATCGAGTCCAACCCCCTGCCAAGCAGGTTCTGAAAGCCTGAGCGTTCCCTGCCCAAAAAACTTTGGGAAGTGGCGGCTTAGGTGAGCCAGTATGGCTTCTGTAATTTTGGGATGTCCCATTTAAAGTGGGGCAGTTGGGGTGGGGGTGGGGCGGTATGTGTTATGTGTTATGTGCATGATCTAATGCTATACACCCAGTGTGGCCATTCATATATAAAGAGACCATCCTTTCTGGATGTGTGGAGCTGGGCTGAAGGGGATGGTATGTCATAGATCACAGGGACTATGTCTTATGGACATCACCACATCCCTGATTTGGGGCCAGCTGTACCATTTGATAGGCTGACACGGCCCATCTCAGAGGGCAGCATAATGCTGATTATAATTTAAGCATGATGGGAGATGCTATTTGGATTTTCTGCTTCAGGTATAGCAGGGATGGAGTCAGGAGAAGGGACAATCGGGTACGAGGAGCAATAGGCCAGCTGATGACTGCCCCAAACCGCTGTTGTACTCATGTCCTGATTGTGGGTTTCCCATTGAGGTATTTGGTTCACCACTGTGAGAACAGGATGCTGGACTAGAGGGGCCCCCTTCAGCCTGATTCAGCAGCCAGGATCTTCTTATGTTCTTAATGCTTACCATTCAGTTATATGAGAGAATGCAAACGATGCATCTTGGCACCCTACTGGAGAGAGGAGTTATACCTGCCCTTATTATCACCCACTCCTGCCACAGTGTCAGGGACCAGCACTAAGAATGTAAGAAGAGATTTGTTCATGCCAATGGCCCATCGAGTCCAAGATCCTGTTCTCATAGTGGCCAACCAGGCGCCTTTGGGAAGTCAGCAAGCAGGATATGAGCACTAGAGCATTCCCCACTCCTGTGGTATCCAGAAACTGGTATTCATAAGCATTACTACCTCCAGCTCTGGAGACAGAGAACATGGGCATTATGCTCAGTCAGGTTTCTCTTCCTGCTACAGAACTTGGTGGGAGGCACTGAGAACCAAGCTAGCCTATTTGCATATCTCTCCTCTTTACCTGCATATCTCATTCCCAGATGCAATGCAGGAAAGTTGCAGAATACCATACTTTTCCGTCTATAAGACGCCCCTGTGTATAAGACTATCCCTATTTTTGGGGACTCAAATTTAAGAAAATGCGGGGAGATGGCACAGAGTTGTTGGCTCTGGTTGTTGAGCTTTTTTGAGGATTGCCCAGAGTTGTTGAGCTTTTTTTTTGGGGGGGGGATTGCCAAAAATCGCTCACCCGCACACGTCGCAAAATCTGCCTCCCGTCTGCCACCCAGCCAACTACCACAGCGTCAGCCAATCAACACCACCCATTAACGCAGCAACCAATAACACGCACAATAGCTGTTGACAGCTGCGGCAGCAACCAATCAAATGACAACCCTGTGCACTATCCATGTATAAGACAACCCCCACTTTTAAATATGATTTTTATACACAAAAAGTACGGTGTGTATGTGTATGTGTGTGTGTGTGTGTGTGCGCACACACACACACACACACAAACATTTAGGAGATTATTGGCAGAACTCCTTCTAATGTTGCCTCTCCTTAAAATATCTGCAAACCAATTCCACCGTCTATTCAAAAACATTACTTTCAAAGGAACATCTCTCCCTCCCAAACTGCCACACTTTTCTAGATTTTTTATGTACTCTGATGCTAAATTGATTTCCAAGACCCAGGAAATATTTCATTTGAAAGAGAAGCAAGCTCCTGCTCAGCTTGATTGTAAGATGGGCGCTAGGCTGCTTCTCTTGGAAAGCACACCTGCCTTCGAACTAGAATATGATCCTTCGCTGTGAAAAAGTTTTAACTCTTTTTCCCCTCTTTTTTTTGTCCATAGGGCTTTGCAGGATTAGGTGAGCAGCTGATTTTCCTCTTTTGATCAAGGCCCATCTTTCACTGTCACACACCTGACATCATATATGACCCCTGGACCACATTCACACGATGCATTTAAAGCACTGTGATACCACTTTAAACAACCATGGCTTCTCCCAAAGGATCCTGGGAAGTGTAGTTCATTAAGGGTGCTGAGGGTTGTTAGGAGACTGCTATTCCCCTCACAGAACTACAATTCCCAGAATTCCCTAGGAAGGAGGATTGATTGTTAAGCCACTCCGGAATGGGAAGAGGGAGTTCCCCCTCTCAGCCCCATCCACAAACCACAGCTCCCAGAATTCTTTGGGGGAAGCCACTACTATTTCAAATGGTATCATAGTGCTTTAAATGTGTGGCGTGAAGGTGGCAGATGGGCATGACTTGGCCAAAACTGCCTTATGTGCCAAATAGGGAGGCTGGGAGTGCCTAA